CTGGGGACATTTCCCACCCACCTGCCTGCAGCCCAAGCCCCCCAGCCGGCCGCCCCTGTCCGTCTGTCCTCCTTCCCCCACGCCCCCGCGCTCTGCTCTTACCGCCTGCCCCCGGCCGTGTGAAAGTGTTTGGCGAGTCCCGTGGTTAAGCAAGGAGGGAACTGGGTTTTTCGGAGGAGCTGGCTGGAATTCAGGGCAGAGGAAGAGGCACCCGTGCGGGGCGGAGGGCGCCTCGGGCTGGCAGGTGGGTGGGGGAGCGGGGGCTGCTCTCCCCGCGCAGCGTGGCGGATGGGCAGGCCTGCATGTGTGTGACTTCGTGAGCTCTTTATAAAAAAGCCTGGATTATGAAGGAAGGGCACCTGAATCACACTCCCCACTTCCATGAGATAAATGGAAATATTTGCTTTCTGCACAGCTCGTGCAGACTTCAGCAAGCGGCTAAAGCTGAAGGAGGGGAACCTTTGAGTGTGGGGGTGCGGAAGAGCATCCTGAGCTCAGAAAGCGGCAGCGTGGAAGATGCTCGAAGCCTTGGAGCAGGCCTGGTCTGTTCCCCCGCATTCAAAAGGGCTGTCAGGCACGGGAAGGGGCTGCCCAGGGAAGGGGACGAGTCCCCATCCCTGGGGGTATTTAAAAGCTGGGCAGACAAGGTGCTTAGGGACAGGGTTTAGTGGTGGGATGGCAGGGTTAGGGGAACAGTTGGACTTGATGATCTTAAAGGTCTTTTTCAACCTAAACGATTTCATGATTCTATAAATGGCAGATGGCTGTGCCTGGGTGCAGCCTAGTAGGTCCTTCATCACAAACTGTCAAAAAACGGCAGTTGTAAGGGACCTTTGGATACATCTCAAACTTGTGTTTTCCTCCCACCTCCCTCTGTCTCATGGTGTTTCGCTGGACAGAACTTCCTAGAAAGGCAAAATCCAGCCTTTCTCCCTTCCTCCTCACAACCTCACTGTATTAATTTAACAACGTGTGATGGGGAGACAATCATGCCAGCAGTCAGTCCCAACCCTTAACAGAGCCCCAACACCAACACCTGAGAAAGCCCCACACTTCTGCTTCTGCCATGGGGCAAAGCCTGCCCCAAACCACTGCTCAGATACACGAGAATCACAGAATCACAGGATGGTTTGGGTTGGAAGGGACCATCAAAGATCACCTTTTTCAACCCCCCTACCTTGATCAGGGACATCTCTCACTAGATCAGGTTGCTCAAAGCCCCATCCAACCTGACCTTGAACCTTTCTAATGATGGGACATCCACAACTTCTCTGGGCAACCTCTTCCAGTGGCTCACCACCCTCGTCATAAAAAAATTCTTCCTTATGTCTAATCTAAATCCACCTTCTTTCAGTTTAAAACTCTTGCCCCTTGTCCTATCACTACAGACCCTGTCAAGAAGTCTTCTGTCTTGTCTATAAGCCCCCTGTATATATTGAAAGGCCACAATAAGGTCTCCCCAGAGCCTTCTCTTTTCCAGGCTGAACAACCCCAACTCTCTCAGCCTTTCTTCACAGGCTCTTGGATCATTTCCATGGCCCTCCTCTGGACCCTTCTAACAGGTCCATCTCTTTCTTTTACTGGGGGCTGCAGAGCTGGATGCAGAACTCCAGGCAGGGTCTCACCAAAGCAGGATAGAGGAGGAGGATCATGTTCCTCAGCCTGCTGGCCACACTTCTTTTGATGCAGCCCAGGATACAACTGACTTTCTGGGCTGTCAGTGCACATTCCCAGCTCAATTTTTCATCCACCAGTGTTGCAAAGCCCTTCTCTACAGGGCTGTTCTCAATCCATTCATACCCTGTATTGATATTGGAGATTGCCCCAGCCCAGGTGCAGGACCTTGCACTCGGCCTTGTTGAACTTCATGTGCGCACCAGATTAAGTTCCAGGCAGACAAACCAAGCACAGATCCATGCTACAGGACAGGGTTACCTGAAAGCTCTGGGTTGCACCTGACTTGCTGCAATGATCTGAGTGAACAGAAAAGAAACAAGGAAGCACAGGTGGACTCTTCACAATTTCACACCTGGAGAGGAGGGCCAGACTGTCATAACAATGCTGGTAACAACAGCTTTGGCTGTGAAGAAGCTGTCAGCGGTTGACCTGAGGTGATGTTACCAATGAAGCCATTGTCAATTTATGTTACTCGTCTCTGTTAATAAGTGTTAAATAGTGAAATCAGTAACCCACCGGGGAATAAGCGAGCAAGCTTGGAGAAAGGAAGACCTTCCCTCAGTTGAGGTGGATTAGGTTAGGGATCTTTTAAGTAAGCTGGACACCCACAAATCCATGGGCCCTAATGGAATGCACCCACGAGTGCTGAAGGAACTGGCAGACGACATTGCTGAGCCACTTTCCATCATCTATGAAAGGTCGTGGAGAACAAGAGAGGTGCCTGAGGACTGGAAGATAGCCAATGTCACTCCAGTCTTCAAAAAGGGCAAGAAGAAGGACCCAGGGAACTACAGGCCGGTTAGTCTCACCTCTGTCCCTGGAAAGGTGATGGAACAACTCATTCTGGGTGTCCTCTCCAAGCAAGTAGATGAAAAGAAGATCATCAGGAGTACCCAGCACAGATTCACCAAGGGGAAATCATGCCTGACCAATCTAATAGCCTTCTGTGATGGCATGACTGGCTAGGTAGATGAGGGGAGAGCGGTGGATGTTGTCTACCTTGACCTCAGCAAGGCTTTTGGCACTGTCTCCCATAGCATCCTCATAGGGAAGCTCAAGAAGTGTGGGTTGGATGAGTGGACAGTGAGGTGGACTGAGAACTGGCTGAACGACAGGGCTCAGAGGGTTCTGATCGGCGGGGCAGAGGCCAGTTGGAGGCCGGTAGTTAGTGGAGTTCCCCAGGGCTCAGTACTCGGCCCAGTCTTGTTCAACTTGTTCATCAATGACCTGGACGAGGGGAC